TCACTGGATATGTTATAAACTATTGACTCTGACGTAATGGCACAACTTACCTTCAGGTTCCAATTCCTCTGCAGCTTTCAAGTCTCTTTCTGCTTTCTCAAGGTCATTTAGATGGAAGTAGGCTTGGCCTCTTCTAAACAAGGCTTTGGCATTTGATGGTTGAATTTTTAGGGCCTACAAGATGTTCAAAAGGAAACCTCTTTAAAGTTACTATCTTTTTTTATTTTTTATTTTTTCCTCGTACAGTTCCATGCATCATCCACCAAAAAGGGAAAAAAACTACCATACAAGCCTCATTGTTCAAAGGTTGAGTAAAGCTATTTACAGGATTAATCTCTATCTGATGGATAGTACATGACATTTTGTTGATAGTTATCCACTAGATAGCCTTATCCATCCTTTGAAAGACTGGACCCAGGAGGATAGAGTTTCTGCTTTCCTTAACACTAATCAAAGTAACTAACAATTCATTTTCAGAGTAGACTTAGACAAGCAACTAGACCTGACAGTCTGTACAACAACTTTGATATGCACACAGACTAGAACTGGATGAGATAACATGTAACAGAAGATAAACCATTTCCCAGTAAGGAAGAAGGGGAAGGAGGGAGGGGGGTTGGCAAAGAGGAGAGTGAAAGGGAAGGAGCAAGTACAGTCCTCAGTTACACATTCAGAGCTTTCAGTAAGACTCACTTACTTACTCACAGCAGTCTTAATCCTGTACACAAGCTCTTGTGTTTGAGTATTGCCTTATGCTAGTCTGTAGAGTATGGCAGAGCTTTACAAGATTTTGTGCATGCTATGGAAATTCTGTTGTAGTATTTTATGGTAGGAAGGAAAAAATTGTGAGTGAATCTGCCAAACTCTGCAGAAAGGGCTTTACAGCCTTTTTCTGAGCACTGCCACCTATCACATCATCAGAAGCCCCTTGTGGCCAAAGGCTATTGAAATCCCTCCACATGCTAGTTTGAAAGACTATAACAGACTTTACCCTAATTAAAATGGAGTACCTGCCGCACAGGTTTTGTAAGATATCATCAGTTTTTTATTTAATTAACGAAGTGCAAGGTGACCGGCAATAATCAATAATCTAAATAAATAATCTAAATAATCAATTATCTACGCCCTTGAATTTTCGTTATAATACGTCATGGAATAGAATTTACCCTCCTACCTCATTGCAGTAATGTATTGTCCGATCCCAACGATTGTCTTTGAGTAAACAAGCTAGAAATTTTTGAGACATTAAATTGAGAAAAAAAAATCATGAATCGTAAAACTGAATTAAGAGTAAAGGTAGGCCTCAGCGTGTTAAGGGAGAACATTCCAAGCAAAAGAAAATTTTCCTCAAACTACCGGCTAAATTGTTGTAGCAACTAAACTGAACTTGGTAAATTTTTTCTTTGTCTTCCTCAGAAATGTCTCTCCCGGCCGAGTCCAGTCCAAATACAAACGGCCGATCGATAAGCCCTTTCACATGCAGTAATGCCTTATGATAACTTTTCATTGCATCCCTGTAGTCTTTTTTCTTGAAATATTCGTTCCCCTCCACTTTAAGAGTGACTCCTCGCTCAATTTTTTCCTTTGTACTCAATCTTGAAGTTCCAGCCGTTAGTTCTTCTTCCACAGCCGCCATGTTTTCTGAGTGACCTGGCAATGCCGTGTTCCGCTGCTTCGCTGCACGTCCGCTGATATGCTAATTTAGGGGCTGAATCGATAGGGGCGCTCGACAGACTACACCGATCGAAAAGGCGGGACTGCCCATAGTGAGTCTACGTCAAGTGGTGCTTCTGCTACACATCGTGCACCACATGTCACACAGTTTCCAGTTCGTGATACTATTTTGGGCCAAACCATCCATTTCTGCAACCGATCACTCATAGACGGAAAGTTGTGCTTTTCTTTTCGAACTATTGCGCTTTCAGGTAACATAACTAGGCTTTGAGTCAGCGTCGAAGTCAAGAAATTTTGGTAGATTCAGTCGAAAAACTCAGAAAAGTCGATTCAGTCGAAAAATCTCGAATGATTAGTTACTTAGAGTTGGAAAGCAAAGTTCATTCTTACGCTCTAGTGGTTCTTTTGAAAACAAAACTAGATTAAAAGACCATTATGGCCAAGATCTTAATCGGTCAACAGACCACTGAAACGGCTTTAAAAAGGACAGCCTTTAGGACAGCACATACTAGTGTTTGTTCCCGACCCCAAAATAACTCCTGAAATTGGCTATTTGATTGTATTGTTCGCTCAAAGCTATTAGAAATTATACCGCTTAAGTCAGTTTGGTGCAAAGCGTTTGAAATTTTGTCCTTCCTTCTGCGCAAAGCAGGTCGCAACAAAAAAAGCTTGATTACATTTTGATTAATTGTTCGCTGGGATTACCAACGTCATTCATGAAAGGGTAATTTAGTACCATCAACTGAGTTGATAACGTAAATTGGCCATCATAAAGAGTTTAAAAGCTGACGTTTCGAGCTAACACTCTTATGAAGGGCTAACGATTTTGTGGTCAGTTTACTAAATCAACTCAGTTTAAAATACTAAATTACCTTGTTATGCTCTCCCACCGACGCAGCACCACGGATTCTTTAGAAATTTACCTCCTTTATTCATTCATGAAAGGGTCTCTTTCCGAATAAAAAAACCAGTCAGCCGTGGCGGCTCGGTCTGGAAGATCTCGCCAAACCGGTTTTTCAAACAGTAATTAAGGACGCATTCAAACCAGTCGCTAGACACTTAAATTCCCCTAATCATTCTAAAAAGCATGTGCCAGTTTGAGGCCTTTCCCTACATCTAGGAAGTTCGGAGTGTCGCAAAACTCTATGACAAAAATTTATCTTTCAAATCAGCACTCTAAATCCCCGCGGTTCAACTAGTGCTTTTCATTCAACTGATTTATTCTTCTTCGCGTCACCACAATAAACACACAGAATTATTTCAACTTTTCTCCTCGTGTTATTGTTTTCATTTTTCACGGTTTTGGCAGTTTGAGATTTGAGAAAAAAACTGCATTCTAAAGAGAGGGCAACTTACTTCATTTACAAGAGTATTCACACATTGCGGTGTTGCCTCGTTTTAATGCTACGTGACCGGTTTGAGGGACGCCATTGTCCAGAAGGTTTGGTCTGACATTCCAGTGAAATTGATATCGGTTTTTGTGTCAATATATTATTATTCCTTTGTTCTGTGTCGTATTGTGATCGCACAATATGTTAGACTCGTCTGAAAACTACACTTTCATTCCTGCCATCACCACTGCATAACGCGGTACTTTCTTGTTCAGTCAGTGCATTTTGTACAAGAGAATAATTTTCCTGGAATCGTCCCTAGTCGAATCCACAAAGGACACAAAGAACCCAAAAGTACTACGGCTATTTGGTAGGTGAAATTTATTGATAAAAATCGACTTGTTGAGTATTTTAGCTTCCGCGATTAATAATAATCGCTTCTTGTACAGTTACGTAATGCCAGCAAGCATAGCAACTTAAAAAAGTCTTGTGGTGGTCGAAGAATTGGCAAAACATAGAACAAACTTTGAGGAAATTCATCGAAGGATGTTACCTGAGCGTAAAATTAAATTCTGCTCACACACAAAAAAATTATGAACCAGTGGAATACTGCAAATGTTAGACAACACCATGCTGTGCAGATCAAGAGGAAAGCAATTTACTAAATTTTTATTGATTCATTATCGTGATGACCGACCGGAATTGATATTACTCCATGTAAAGGCTTTTCATTTGCGACTGCCCCTCGAAGATGGTCGAGTAGAGTTGGTCGTTTTTCATCTCTCTTACGTAACCGTTTGTGTATGGTTGATTATCCGTGAATGGAAAACACATCTATAGATATTTTTAATAATAAATTCTTTGTTCATTCAGGCCAAGTGCTAGACGGAGTTAAACTAAATTATAATTATTTTTCCAAGCAAAAGTTGAGAGGAAGCGTCCTAAACAAGATTAGGGTGTGACCTGGGTGCGTCTGAATGAATGATATATTCGAAAACGCGACTTCATCAAATTTAAATCTCGTTAAGACACAAGTTTGTGTTCTGAGGCAGTTAACAAAATTGCGGATTGCGGTTAAGATTGCAACACAACGAAGACGAAACTGACGGATTTTTGAAAGCTTTCGTCAGGATGATCACATTTCAGCTAAACTATGAAACAGACGGTTTTTCGAAATCGCGGACTAAGCTCTCATGGCAAGAAGGAAAAGTACAACATGTACAAGTCTATTGTCTTTGGGCACGTCGCCTATCATTGTTACCAGAGAGTTGATGCAATACCACAATCCTCACAGTAAAAGCCGCATTACCTTCCAAATGATGCTTCATCTCCTGGCTTAGGTATTTCAAAGGTCACTTTGAAATATTCATTGTAAAACAGCTCCGACCAAAATAAAAGAAGTGTATCGCAAACAATAAGCCGCGAATCTGCGCATCGTTAGTGCCCAACGTACTGTGAAATACAGGGCACTGATAAGTCGTTTGACCAAGTGTTACTCCATATTGTCGAAAGTGAAAAGAGAGACAGTTAAAACATGGGCTTAAAACGGAGACTAAACTTTTCCGTCAAGTTTCTTGGATTCGGCACTGAAATTTCCAGGAGCTATCTCCAGCGACGCGGGAGCTATCTGATCATTATTACGCAATGTTAAAAAAACAATATATATTATCAGCCACAACAGAGAGTTTTAAAACAAAGGTTTACGGTTCGACGAACAGCAAGACCTGGACTTCGACTTAATTCGCTTAATTCTTTATCAGCTTCCCCTACACATCCCTTGTCAGGTGTTTATTTGTATAATATCATCATCATATATGAATTTCCGCAATTACATGTAGTTCAAAAACTTGGGAAATACTCCCCGAATGCAACACAAAGTGTACAACAGTGTGTAAACATACAAAAGAGGCCTAAGAAATTCTTTGAGAGAGGGCGCTTTGTTAAGCCTTTAGAAAAGCATTTGTCGGCAATTTTTCCATAATGGAGACAACCTCGTCCTGAAACAATAAGACATACCAAAATCAATAAATGTTACTGTGATTGCAGAGGGTTTGAAAATGCATTTTGAGGTAACAAGGAAATTCGATGCGTTGCATTATTTTCAAAGTAGGGCGTTGCGACTCCACCATGCAGGTATCAGCCCTTAATCAGAATTACAACAAAAGCCGCGACAAAGCTGACGTAAACAAAAGAATTAGTGATGCCGATGAACATCAATTCGAATGCCATTAAAATATTCAAATATCGAGGTCCAACGGCTCAGGAATAATACAGTTCAGCTGAAATTTGTTACCCAAAGGTACCGACTCTCATATCTAGCTATTTGGTAGTAAAATTAAAAATAAACAAAGCTGGCGATTTAATGAATGTTCAAATACGTGTGAAAAATTGTGGTTCGTGGCTGGTGTGAAGCGGTGTTTTAGAAGTTCAAAGTTCTTGCTGAGCACGGCGCTCAAAGTCCTGTTCACCACTTCAGCAAAACCCGATCGTTCAAAAGTGACCTCGCTTTCAGTAGTTTTGCCAGAGGAGAGTTTACACTGACCATGCAGCTTAGTCACTGACGGACGTATAAAAATTCCTTCTGATCATTTAGTTAGTTTTAGTCAGCAAAACGAAGCGCGATGGTAAACGACGCGGTAGCGGAGGAGTGAAAAAAAAAGCAGGGAGGTTTGTGTTGCGTAATAAATACTGCGTCGACCTTCCACAGCCTTCGCTCTAACTTAAGGCTAACGCTCAAAACGCCAACTTTGAAACTCTGCGGTCGCCAATTTAAATTATCAACTGATAAAAGCAAATAATCTTGTTATACTCCCCCACCGACGTAGCACCACAGTTTACTTAGAAACTTACCCCTTTACTCCTCTATTTTAGTTACACAATAGGAGACGAGATTTCGCGGTTCCGTTTGGGTTGCGACCCGACCCTAACCTCCCTCGGCCGCTACTTTCGCGTCGTTTATTTTATAGACTTAACGCAAAATCACTCTCGGAACTGTCTCCTATGGATGAGGGGCCTCACAAAAATTCTGTTCCATTAGACCTTTTTATATGTACTTTATATCCCTCCGAACCGAAAGAAAGAAAGAAAGAAAAAACATAGCAATGGTGGACAAGATCTGACATTTTATTGTAGTCATAATCCCTTGAGATCTACATCTTGTGAAAGAACAAACAGTCTACTCTCTTAAAAATTCATTATTGCTTTTACTCGGACTCGACAGTCTATGTGCGATCTAGTTTTTCAATTGCTTCTATAGGCTGGAGGATATTGGCCGTTCTTTCACAGTCTATGGACATAATATTTAAGTGCATAGAGGTGTTATGGACATAACAGTGCATTTAAGATCGAGGGCTAATATCGAATCATAGGGATCGATCAAGCTCGTTCAACAGAGAACTCATTGTTTTAGGGAAAAAAGCTTAAAATCCATTGTGAATAGTTCTGCTCTTTGGCACTTAAATTCACAATACTTGCCTTGTGATACTCTGACTTGCGTTCAAGACCTGCGATTGCCTCATTTTGCGGCTTCATTCCTCCAAAAACTTGACTTCGTGAGGCAAAATTAGACCAGAAGCTGCGAACAAAGCCGACTTTAAAACAGTAAACAAGCCTATATCTCTCTCATAAGAGTAGAAAACCAAAATGCTGAGTAGATCAAAAACCAAACTAATTTATGGATATGATAATTACCTTGTAACAAAAAAATTCCCGCGGAGGTGCAGTTTTGCGGATTAGGTTTTTTGTGTGCATTTTTTGCCTCGCATCAACTTCCCTCAGATAAGGGACAATCCGTAACAATCGCAAGGATTGAAGCCCGAAAAACGTAATTACTACATGGTGTGATCATGTGTAATGCATGTACAACATGCATTACAACATAACATGTACAATCCCCTTGCACATCTTCAGCCTTTTTTCATTGCGTCTTTATTTAAATATTTGTTGATTTTCTCTGTTGGATAGTCTCTAACCTGGTTCTCATGTCTTCTTCGCAGATTTTCCTGCATAACAAAGTGACAACAGGAAAGTGAGTACATTTGAAATCATGTCTGTCATCTCGACCAATGTTAACCAACTGGAGGTCTGTTCCGGAATTGCTGCCGAAAACGAGAAGGTATATTAAATAAAGAGGGTTCAGGCTGTCTAGTCAGTTGTTTTCCTTTATTCTGGGAGATTCATGACCTATGGGTCGGGAGGCCCTTTCCATTGATAAGCTAGTGGGGATGTGTCGCTGGATGGGGTCGCATTCTCACGATTAGATTATGATGGGGTTGTATTTTCAACAGAGTTACTAAAATGGGGCGGCACATTTTCAGGACT